CTTAGGATCACTTAGAAAGGTGGGACTCCTCGCTCAGAAAGGCAGGTCGTGGAATGTTGTGTGATGCCATTTCCACAGAGATGTCTACTCACCCCAGATAGGACTGAAGTAAGGATAGCAACACAGTCCATCTTGCTGAACTATGAGCTATAATGGGGTCACTTAGAGGAATAGGGGTGAGAGTTACTTACAGGAGTAGAAATGATACAAGAACAGCATCACCAACAAGCCCACCCCAGCATAGGCGGCAACTCAAAAAAGCTGGAAACCTGGAGCCCACTGCACAGTGGATTGGGAGTGTCCTTTCCAATTGCAACAGTAGGTCTGGGTCTCTTCCAGGCAGCTCAGTCTGTATTAGTCCTGAACAGATCAGCTTGTCTGTGAGTCTTCTAGGGAGCCCAGCTTATCCGAGAGTGTATCTCCTCAGGCTTAACTGTTTATGTACTCTTGACAAGGAAAAGGCCTAGTAAATATGGTCAGTTTCGGGGACTTCCTGAAGTTATTGTGTTGTTTACTTCCTGTCTTAATGAGATTCAGGATATAATGTTTCCCTTCTTCATAGAGCATCCTGTTATAAACGTTCAGTTTTAAACACCCTATTGTTTCACCTTCTTTTTACATCCTGTGTTTTGAGAGGTTTCCCTCCAAGATGAAAGATTTTGACCTTGGAAGAAAGTGCTACCCAAAACAGAATGACATTTTATGTCTGTAGAAAGGGTGCACATAAAATCATTAATATGCTCCCCAACTCTCAGAAGGGTTACGCAGGGGTTAAACATAGGGTCTAGTGTTTATTTACAAACAGTTTTGTCACAAATCCACAGTCAGCCCTGTTTTCTTCTTCCTGCTTGTCTATATTTGGTGGTATTGTTACAGCAACAAAGTTTAGACAAATAAATACAAGCAAATTGAATACTTTCCCGTAAGAAGATGAAGTAGGTCCTTGTGACTGTCTCCACCTGTGTGCAGGTGACTGGGTACCCATAGATCTCTTCATAATTCTTCTCCTCGCTGGCCCCAAAAGGTACCTCCAAATACTCAAACCAGAACACCCCAGCGCCTGTTTCAAGACATGTTGTACCTGTCAGTCACTGCCCCCCACAGTTTTCAAAGTTGTTTCCTGATGTCTATTACAAAGCTACCTTCCTTCTAGGTCTAGGCTTACAAATGATGATGAACCCCAAGGGGCCTTCACAATAGGCTGCTTGCTACTTTTGAGTTTCATTTTTGACTCCCTAGTTAAAATCTCAGCTATATACATGCAAACACATGCTTATGCATACTACACATATAAACATACTTGCATGCACAGATCATCAATAAAAGGGATGCTGTTGACAAGAGCATGATCTTGAGACACCCTACACATACACACCTAACCTTATCCTTCTCATTCACCACAGTGATGGAAGTATATGTCTCATATTATCCAAAATGGCTTCTAAGGAGTTTCGCATCCTTAAACAGAGAGTCAAGGAAGCAAGAACCTGATACCTGTCTATATCAGCTCCTCGGCTATTCATGAAGTCCAAGAGTAACCTGGCTCCAAACACCAGATCACTGAAAACAGTGGGCCATTCCAAACTGCAGCTTCAATCTATTCCCCACAGCTCTCTCTGCACAAGGGAAACCTTGAGGGTTGGGTGTCAGTTCCCTCTGGACTGAGTGGTCTCTGCTTGATCATAGCACATAGCTTTTTATTTTTAGCACAGAGTCTTTAGCAGGCACTGTCAGGTCCTGGTGGCCCATCCTCCAAATGATGTTTGGAAGCGGGCCTGGGTCAGGGTCCCTAGGTATGACACTGGTCACTTCGGTTTGCTTTGTCCTTTTTTTCACCCACAAACGAGGACATATAAGATGGCCTCGAGACATAGGCATATTCAATGAGCTACTGCATGCAAATATTCGGAATTGTGCACATCCTTCCTGGGCACCTACAAGGCATGTCATAAAAATCAGTTATTGTTTGGCTGAGAAATGTCCTTATAGGATCACGTATCTAAACATTTGGTCTCCTGCTGATGACACCATTCTGGGGAGGTCATGGTGGGATGGTCAACATCTAAGGTTTTAATTACTATGCTAATGATATATATGTATTATCTCTAAGCATGCCCTATCAGCCCTATTCCCTTCTCTCGGAATAGTTTACATACTCTTCCAAACCGCCTAGTCTTGTAAAAATCTTTTACTGCCCCAACTGTTCTTGCAAGATAATGGGTCCTTGGAGCTAACTGCTAGTTCTGCTTTTGTAAAAATAATGTTTGCTTACTCAAGATAACTGAGGCCTCTGTCTGACCTCTGTTACAGAAGTTAAGCTTTGCCTACTTGTAGACAGGATGTGAGTTAACTGGACCCTCAAAATTGTGACTTTGTAGTTTTTGTCTTTATAAGCCCTGGACTAATTTGGCTAAACGCTGTATCTCTAGAGTGCTTTCAGGTGTAGAACTGGTACCAGTATCTGAGTAAAAATCTCTTCCTACTAAGTCTTAGTCACTCTTGGGTTGGTGAATCTCCGAACGACCCCAGAGATATAACAGTGGAGCCTGGAGGAAGGAAGGCTTAGCTGACAAGCACAAGGTACCTTCAGGGTCATAGCAAACCCAAAGCTCTCTGTGCCCTGTGAGAAAACACGGCTGCAAACAACCACCACCGTGGATTGACTGACTCTGATCACCATGCCTTCCCCATCATGTGGGACTGTATCCCCTGAGCAGTGAGCTAGAACTTCCTTGCTTCGGGTATCTTTCTCAGACATGCTGTCACAGCAGAAAGGAAGGGCAGAAACACTTCACCCATTGCAACATGAGGCCTGAAGGCCTACACCTAGTGCCCGGGGACACAGCTGCGGAAGCTCGCGGAAAGGGCACAGACTTTAATTTCACAGGATTGCTGCGAAGGTAAAAGAGGTTGTGACAGCACTCTACTAAACAGCCAATCTTTGCTCCTTGTCATTGTTCCAGAAAGCATTAGCAGGGGCAATCTTCTGGTTGGTACCACTGTCGTGGCTGTTTCAGGCAAGGATCTAAGGCACTCAGACCCAGGATGCGGGGAGGCTGCCTGGATGGGCACAGACCTGGTAGCTGGACAGAAGATCCGCAGAGTCAGCAGGAGAGGAGATCTTGTAGGTGTAGAAGGCCTAGGTTGTAATATGGGCTGCAGGAGTTCATTGATGGGGTCAGGAAACCCAGCCACCTCCCCGGTTCACACAGCACAGGGCCCTAGCAGTTGCGGGACCCCCACAAAGGGACAACAGCACATAGGAGAGGTCACCCATCAAAGACCAGCCCAAGGTGGGGTCCTAGCGCAGTAGGCCAAAGTTGCCTCAACCCAAAAGTCGTATCACACCCCAAGGAAGTTCTGAAAGGGGCAAGTTAAAAACAGAAAAGTGAGATTCTCTTGATTTCTTGCAGTTAAATTATGTTTATTTTGTTAATTTGATAAACAATAAATCTATGGCCTGGTGACGGTGTTTGCTGAATTATTCCAGGATCTGAGGAGAAACTGAGTGGGTGAGGAGCCTGAAGGCATTATTTTCCAAGGGAGGCCTCCTCAGTTGGAAGGGACAGGGGTCTAGAAGGAAGCTGGGATGGGCGAAGGAAGCTGGGATGGGCTGGGCTTCCTCCCAGCTGCATCTCTGCTCACTTCTGTTTGTTGACCCCAGATGTAGTTTCTGTTTAGGAGGATTAAGCACTGTCTCTGGAAGATGAAGTGGGTAGTAAAAAGCCACATATTAATGAATTAGAGCCCGCTTATAAAAACCTCATCATCAAAAATTAGATCTGCGGCAGATTAAAAAAAGAGCAATTTATCCTCAAACATTCTCTTGGAAATGATGTGTGCAGAATGTGAACATTAATCTCTGAGACCTGTGACTTCAAATTCTGGATGTGTGAGCTGCCTGCTTTCTCAGGCTGTCCGGCCTCTGATAGCCCAGCAGTTTACTGCTATAGGGTTGTTGGGTTTTTTTTTTCTAATTTTTATTATGTCGGGTTTGTTGTTTTGTTTTGTTTTTTAAACGACTCTGGGCAGAAGACAGAGAATAGAGCTCCTAATGCTTCCAGAGCATAACCTTTGGCAAAGTAAAGTCACTGCAGGTTAATTAAGGAATTTTAAAAATTCTTCCACAGACAACTCTGTGCCCTGAGAGGAAAGGTTATAATTAAGATAGATTCTGTGTCATTCGGATCGTTTAAAATGCCAACTCTTCAAAAAATGGAGATAATAAAGTCAGCAGGGAGAAAACTCGCGGGTTTGGATGAACTGACCTTGCTAGCAAAAAGACTTGAGGATCTTTCTTCCCCTCCCAAGGCTGTTTGCGTGCTCACACTATCCGATCTTCATCCTCCAGCCCTAGAAGATGCTCCCAAGCTTTCTCAGTGCGCACAATGGTCTCCTCTGCAGACCTGAGAAGCTGAGACCCTGATGAATCCGAAAAGATTTCTCTATAATAAGAAACTGTTCCCCAGCTCAGGCCTTGTAGGCTGTGGTGATACACTAGGCATATGTGTGTGTGTGTGTGTGTGTGTGTGTGTGTGTGTGTGTGTGTGTCTGACCTCCCCAAGGAAGGGAGAGGTGTGGGATGGAACCTAGAGGAGAAGCTGACTTCTTGTATGAAGTTGGGGGCACCTGGAATTGATGTCCTCCCTGTGTGTTAGGGACCCATGACAAGAATTTTATGGACCGCTTCTATATAGTTTGGAGATACAGAGCTGGAAACATCCAATCAAGGCCCTTCCTGGAGGGGGCAATGAAGTCTGGGTATTTTCATAGCATGGATATTTCTGTTCCTTTCAGTCAGACTCTATTTCCTTTGGTCCTGCAGTCTGGCACACATGTCCCTGTCCTGGCCAGTTCAGTGGTCTTTCTGCTGCTAGAACGGCCCTCACTCTCTCTTGCTTTTTGAAATTTTTTTTTTGTTTACACGTGATTGAGTTTATTGTGGAGAAAGGTAACAGAGATTGGGGTTGTGGAAGAACAGTCAGACACAGAACTAACCTTTAGCAGCCCAGCCATGGATCTGTCTGGTTCTTCCTCGTCAAGAAGTTAATCTTTCGAGCCATTTCCATGTTGTAGATCCTCCGGCATGTTTCATAGCTCTCCTGCTGGCCACAGCGGCAGGGCTTCTCATAGAAACGCCGCCACTTTATGACTTCCGTAAGCCCATCGGTAGTGAGAATTCTATTCAGGGTCCTGTATGCACCTTCCACGTTCCCATCCTGAACCATCACAGTCCTGGCAATGAACTTCAGGTGTTTAGCCATGGCCTCGCTTTCAAATCTTCATTCTTCAGGACTTACAGGCTGCGGCTGCAGCACTCGGGACTCCAGGGCCGCTTTTTGAATTTTTTAAGTGCGGCTCAAACGTACCGAAATGAGGGGCTCCCCGAGAAAGCCCTTGCTTTTTCTTGTTCTCTTTCATGGCCAGAGCCTGGAGACCCTTTGGACACCTCCTTGGCAGTGAAGCAGGGATTGCAGTTTGTTTACTGAGCTGAGGGTGGAGCCCTGAGCTTTGCAGACACTAAGCAAGTGTGTGCTAACCTTTTGTTTCCTAGCCTGCATCCCCAAACATCGCCTTCTGGAGACAAGGTCTCTCTATGTAGCCCAGGCAACCTTTACCCTAACTGTGCTCCCCACATGGCCTCTGAAGGCAGATGTGGCAATCTAGTATCTCTTCCTAACACATGCATCTCTCTTGCACTAAATGTTGATGAGTGTGAACGTGGACAGGTGGTACAGCATTGATTCTGGACCATGCTTTGGTGGGCAGGCAGTACAGCACTGACTCTGGACCATACTTTGGTAGCTTCCATCCCCGTAGCTAAGAGCCACTGTCTAGTGTGTGGCAGACATGGTTACCCACTGTTCACAGTATAAGGGCATCATTTGAAATTCCCAGACAGTGAAGTTCATTATCAGTAAAAATCTGTGCTTATCATGGATCTGGGTAATATTATTCACTGTGGAAACTAATAGGGCGTGAGGTCTTCCTATTCTGACATCATTGACTACAACAAGTAGAGAAAAGTAAAATTGTCCCAGCTTTCTGTCTCTTTGAAAGACTCTGCTCCAACATCTGGTCCCTGTAGACATTCAGATCTCACACCTGGAACAACAAACATTTACTCGCTAGTGAGAAAATAGGTTTGGAGATGTCGTGTGGTTTTCACATGTTTACCCATCTTCTATGTGGTTTGGATTCGAGCCCAATGCATGACTAATGGTTTTCAATTTTATACTCACTGAATTAGTTAATTGCTACCAAAAAAATAGCATTGCACTAGCATTCAAAGCTGCTGTCACCTCCAAAGCCCACTTCTTCTAAGTCTTGATGTCTTAGTTAGCGCTCTGCTGCTGTAACAAAAATACTTGAGGTTGGACTATAAAAAAAAGAGGTGTATTTAACTCATACATTTATCAGAGGCTCAAATCCCAAGATAAAATAGCCCTAGCTATTTAGTCTCTGGTAAGAGTCCCCTTGACTATGTCACAGTGCTGTAGAGAAGGGGGAAGGGGAAATGACTATATAAAGCAGGGGTCAAGCACATGGTGGTCTCCTTTATAACCATGTTCTTCCTTGAGATCTAACACATTCCTAGAAACCAACATTAATTCCTTTCAAAGGTGGTTGCCAGTAGACTCCATGTCTTAATGATCCCACCACACCACAGCATCACACTGGGAACCAAGCTTCCAACACAAGACACTTTAGGAAATAAACACAAACTATATTCACACTCTAGCACTTAGAAATATGTGAACCAACTAACACAACATATATATTATTTGTGGTCCAATGGGCATGCCTTAAACATAGTCCTTCAGATTGGTATTGGATTGAAGGCCTCTAAGATATCACTGGAAACACAGTCTCATATCTTTGAGTCTAATATCTGTACCCAGAAAAGACAAGCGCACAGTGGGCTGTATCTATAGAAGGGCCTCTCATGGGCAGAGGGTGCTGTCGGGTCTAAGAGGAGGTGGGCTTTTGCTGAACCATGAGAACACAGAGGGTGTGTAGGCGTGGGAGGGTCTTCCAGGACAGTGTTAGGTAGTTAGCAGGGACTCAAGCTATAGTGTGGTTCCCCACAGCTACCTAAACAAAGTACCCCACACTGGGCATTGTTAAATAGCAGAAAAGTATTGTCTTAGAGCTCCAGAGGCTCCAAGCCTAAGACAGGAAAATATTAAGGCTGTGCACCTTGCATCCCGTAGCAAACATTTCTGTGCCCCGCCCCCAGCTTCTGAAGATGCTGTCAGTCTTGGCTCTCAGCTGTGTCATTCCTGGATTCTGTCTGCCAGCTCTCGGTCCCCTTTCCTCCTTATCTATGGATAAGTCACTGAGCGACAGCCTATCCTACTCGTGTGCACTCCATCCCTCTTTAATTACAGCTATGACAGCCTATGATTTGCAAATAAGCTCACGGTCTGAAGCACCAGATTAAGGCTTTCTGTGAGCGACAGCAGGGGCAGTGCTGAACCTGTACAGCTTGGGAGAAACTTTGCTGTAGCCTCCTGGCTTAATGTTCCAAGCCCCTCACAGTTTGTCTCTGCTCCCTCTCCGGTCTCAGCCGGCCAGTCTTTGGCACACTTTCCAGCCTATGGTGCAGCTCCACGTGGTTTCTGGGAGCTGTGCTCTCTACTCCCTCTGCTATGGGAACTTTTCCTATCTCAAGTTCAAGGTTGTCTCCAGTTCTGTGTATTCCTTCAGCCTTCCTCCTCCACTGTCCTATCTCCGAGTCTGCAGTCTGCAAGGCCATTACTAGTCTTGATCTTGTTTTCATCCCGCCCTTTAGGTTCTGGACTTCCTGTTGACAGTGACCAAATTGCAAGGCTAGGTGCCCATGTTCTTAACCAGCTCTCTTAAACCCGGCAAGAAAAGTACATCAGTTGACAAGTGATATCAAAGGAGACATCTCATCACCACTTGAGGGTAGAGAAAGACAGACCTTTCCGTGTGGTAGAGGTTAGATACCTCCAGAGGACAAGCCAAGGTTTGCAGGCAGCATCTGACCGTCAGGGAAGCTGAGTGAAAAGGTTTGGAGATTGGTGCTCTGACAGGGTTAGGGCAATAATAAGGTTATGGAAAAGAAGGGAGGAAATGAAAGGAGAAGCAGAAGGAAATGAAACCTGCTATGGAGATGTCTGGAGGCTTCCTTAGCTTCACTTCTCTTGTAGAATCCTCAGAAGGACCCAAGAAAGGCATGGGGTTTGGGGATGAGCATCTTCTAAATGATAACGTGCAAGGGATATAGAAACTACGTTCCAGGTTCCGGCTATGACGAACAATGCTGCTATGAACATAGTTGAGCACATGTCCTTGTGGCACAATTGAGCATCCTTTGGATATATACCCAGAAGTGGTATTGCTGAGTCTTGAGGAAGGTTACTTCCTCATTTTCTGAGAAATTGCCATACTGATTTCCAAGGCTGTACCAGTTTGCACTCCCACCAGCAATGCAGGAGTGTTCCCTTTACCCCACAAGCTCTCCAGCATAAGCTGATAAGCTGTCATCAGTGTTTTTGATCTTGGCCATTCTGATGGAATGGAATCTCAGAGTTGTTTTGATTTTCATTTCTCTGATGGCTAAGGATGTTGAGTATTTCCTTAAGTGTACTTCAGCCATTTTAGATTCATCTGCTGAGAGTTCTCTGTTTAGGTCTGTGCCCCATTTTTTATTGGATTATTTGTTCTTTTGATGACCAGTTTCTTGAGTTGCCCCTGGACCAAAGAATGGATAAAGAAAATGTGGTACATTTGTAGAATGGAGTACTACACAGTGGAAAAAAATAACGGCATCTTGAAATTTGTAGGCAAATGAATGGATCTAGAAAATACCATTTTGAGTGAGCTAACCCAGACCCAGAAAGACAAATATCATAAGTCCTCACTCATAAGTGGCTTTTAGACATAAAGCAAAGAAAATCCAGCCTACAAATCACAATCCCAGAGAACCTGGACAACAATGAGGACCCAAAGAGAGACATACATGGATCTAATAAAAGACAAGATCTCCTGCGTAAATTGGGAGCATGGGGACCATGGGAGAGGGTAGAAGGGAAGGGGGGACGAAGGGAGGGGAGTAGAGAAAAATTACAGCTCAATAAAAACAATTTTAAAAAGAAGCTACACTTGAGAGATTGTATGTGTGTGTGGACACACACACACACACACACGGAGGGGGAGAGGGAGAGAGAGGCTGGAAGAGACAGAGACAAAGCGAGATGATGGAACTGTGCTCTGATGCCACACAGGAATTCAAACTGTCACACTAAAACACAATCAAATTAGAAATCTCCTTCTGTTAGCAGTGGTTTCTCCAGCTGTGTGGATAAGCAGCACCATCTAGTGGGGAGTGAGGCAAACTCTCATGGTCTTGAGCACAATGCACAAGCTAGGATGACTGCATTGGATTTTCATTACATCAGTGCCATTTATTTAGGATTAGAATAACTAGAAGGGTCTCTATTGCAACTCTAATGTACCATTGTTGGTAGGGGTTCTGGGGGCAGTTTGGCCCAGGCACACTCCTGCAGGGCACTTGGCCAGGAGTATCCACAATCGTTTGTGCGCACGTGTTACTGTGAGAATCTGATTCTCATAATGTGCATTCTGTGACATTATTGGGAGAGAATCTTGAGTTTGCTTAGAAATTGCTGAGTCGATGGGTTTCGCCTTTGTGCTAAAGAAATGGTAATCATCATCTCTGTGGTCCCAATAGCAGGGTCACTTTTGTTCCTCCCAACCGTCTTTGACTGTGGGTGACTCCTGGGAAGTCTTCCTCAGCTCTTGGGTTCCTAGCTTTGACCCTAGTTTTCACATACATATTAGTGCTTCTGAGTCTACACCAGTTCCTCTAAGAGCCCATGTTACATCCCGACATGTTTGGGTCTTCTCCACCCAGGCCATCTGCAGCCTGAAGTGAAGAGCACCCAAGCCTGAGCTCTTCTCGTTTTCCTTTGTTGGTTGAGTGCAGTCAGCCACCACGTCCTGGAACCAGCAATGCTGGAGTTGTTCGTCTAGTGTCTCTCTCTCTCTCTCTTTCTCTCTCTCTCTCTCTCTCTCTCTCTCTCTCTCTCTCTTACACAGCTGTGGCTTTGTTGAGGCCCAGAGCAGGGACTGTGGTGAGCTCAAAGTGTCCATCGATCATTCAGGGTTACAACCAAACTTATCTCCTAATGGACATTAATAAGCGTAAAATGGTTCCCAAGTCAAGGCCATGCTGACTTCAGCAACTGTTACATTTAATGTTCATGGATATTTG